GAAAAATAAGTAATGGAGTAAAGTATAGATACCTAAGAAGCGTACTTAAGTACAGTAATGAAGTATTTGTACTTCATTACTTGACACCTCTGCTCATTACAAAGCAAACATGCAGGCAATCCTTCTTCATTGGTAATGAAAGCAAATGATTTGCTCCATTCTTCTTTAAATCCTATTTTCTCATCAGGTATCTTCCCTTTTTTCCCTTGGTGATCAATGGTTCGAGACCCACCTGCCGCTTGTTAGCCTGGTGCCTTGATGAAACGTGTGTTGCAGGCTATTTACACTATGTACACTCTATGGCTATGACACAAATTTTCGTTGAAATACATTTTCACATTTGTTGTTTTAATTAATTTATTATACAAATTAATAATGAATGTTTGTTTTACATCCTGCACACCATATTAAAATAAACAAACAAACAAAAAAATTTCATACATTTTTGAAAAAGCTCCAGGGAGCCTCAAGGGGGTGCTAAAGAGCTGCATGCGGCTCCAGAGCCACGAGTTGCAAACCCCTGCTCTTTGAGGTCTACAGATCCTGCTTCTCATTCTGTTTTTCTTTAATCTTTTTGTTCTGTCTTTGTTTTTCTCATCAGAAAAAGATAAAACCAACATAGCTTGATATAAACAGATATTTTAAATCTAAAACTATACAGAGTCAGTCAATTTTCTCATTCATCCTGCATAATTTTGTCCACGATGAAGAAAATATATATAAATAATCATTTTTCCATATATAGTTTGATTTGAAGAAAATGATTTTCTTCAGTCATCTCCTACCTGATGGATCAGACTAACACCTGGTTCTGTTCTACAGGTGGAGCACTCGCTGGACTGATTGCTGGGCTGGTGGCTGTTCTGATTGTTGCTGTCATTGTTGCTGTGATTGTCCGGAAGAAGAGGAGGACTCCTCCTAATGAGACTGAAAATGATGTTGGGATCCCACTAAGAGCTCAAAATGCAAGCAGCCCCTCCTAGAGCTCTTCCTTCTTCTTTCAATGGATGCGTTGTGACCCCTCATCAGTGATGTCTTCTTGGTCCATTAGGTGTTTTGGGTCTATAGGAGCTTCGTACTCCCTCCCCCAGAGGACCTGAGCAGAGGTGATCAGTTCCTGGCCTCCATCCCAGCAGTATTTATCTACTGGTCAGAACCATCTAGTAACTCCCTCTGTAGCATCAAAGGTTACTTAAATGGACATCACGTTATCAGGGCAGCATTTTCCAACATGCTGAACAGTCTAAACAGTGACGTCCAGCAAAGCCTCAGCTACAGTATCCACCATTCAAAATGGCCCTTCCCTGTCAAACACCAGCCTACTCCCCTGCAGCTTCCAGTAAAATCCCCTCCAACTTCCAGCCACTGGCCTTCCCCTGGGTGCGATTATTTTTTTACTCTGACTCCATCCTTTCACTGAATTTAGTACAAAGACTGATGTTTAAAAAGGAATTGTAGGGGACCAACCACAGACCAAGTCAACCAGGGGCCCATCAAGGAAAGTGGGGAAATGTTAAATGGCTACTACTGTACCAACCTCAGCGAACACACTGATTGTTGATAGTTTGCACTTTTACCTTGGGCCTCCTCCAGGTGCTCCTCTCAGGGTCCAGTAGCTCC